ATATGTTACATTAATTAAACGAATTAATAATCTTTTTTTTTTGTTGTTGTTTTTGCTATATTTTCCCTACTTTTTTTTTGGTTCAGTGTCGACAGTAGCCACATTGTATTGTTCATTCTTTTGTATTTGGCATGATTATAATGATGATTACCATGTTGATGATAACTTGTTATTAATAAGTTGATTGGATGTTGTTGTTTCTATTCTTTTTTCTATATACATTGAATATATATGCATAAAGATTGATTAATTTCATTTCATTTTATTATTATTCTGTGTATCCATCTTATAATCATTTTCATTGATTGTTTTTTTCTCTGGTTCGATCGATACAAATCGATAATCATCATCGATGATGATGATGATGATGAGAAATAGTGATGAGATTTTTTTTGCTTTGTCTTGTGTATTAGTAAGAATTTCGTTATCTTCTCATAATAATAATAATAATAAGATGACAAGGATTCATTGAACTTTTATTTCAGCAAAACAAAAAAAAAATATAAATCTAAATGTTGTTTTTTTTTGTATGTCAATTTACTTGTCTTATGCTTTCCACAAATGTCTTTATTGTTGCAATTTGTCTAGTTGTCTTAATTTATCAATGTTCACCTTAAATGTTTTTTTCTTCATCATTTTCATCTTCATTTTTTTTCTTGTTGCTCCCTTGGTGTGAAATGATCGCATAAAATCTGTTTGTTACCTATGATAGTTTTTTTTCGAATCAAGGTGTCATCGTTTATTCGTTTTTTTCTTCATTATAATGATCTCTCTCTCTCTCTCTCATTCACTTGAACATTCCACAATAAGACATTATCATTTGGTATGAAAAATATTTTTCACTTTAGATTTTTTTCTTCTTCTTCTTCTTCTTCGAAACAAATTTATGACAATTTAATTTACAAAATATTCAGTTTTTTTTTCATTGGATATCATAGTTGATACACCTGATATATGTGATGTGGATGAGATATTGAACATTACATGAATTGACACTAACACACACACACACACACAGCAGACAACATTCTATCCCACTGATTATTATTATTTTTTTTCCAATTCATCAGTAAATGTCACATCATAATGTACAGATTGCGAATTTAAATTTTTGAAAAAGAAAAACAAAAAAATTTAGATGAATTTTCGAGAAAAGCTAAAGAGAGAAAGAGACAGAAAAATAATTGAGCTTCCTATGTGTGTTAAAATTGAAATATTCCAATGCATGTTTGGAGGATTAAAATCTTCAGATATTATTTTTGTTTAGAAAACGAAATAAAATAAAATAAATTGATTATCATTGAACCGACACCCAGTAAAACTAATGTTTTTTTCCATGGAAAACAAAATCATTTACAAAAAAAAATTTATGCCTATAACTAACGTTTAATAAATTTCTTGGGTTTACATAAAGAATGTAAACCAAAAAGATATTTCGAAAGATGTGTCCACTGTGTGATGATCATCATTATTATTATCAAACATTATTGTCTTTGGTAAATGCATGGTGTGTGTTGTTGTTTTTTTTGTCATGATGATGAAAATAATTGATTTCGGTTTGGTTAATTTCTGTTCACATATTTGATCCGTATTGTTGAATGATTTACGGTTATTCACTTTTTTTTTGTTTTGGATAGATTGAATGTGTGATTCCAGAGATAGTTAGTTAGTTTTTTCCAACAAAAACGATAATAATTTATTTGTATAGTGGCAGTAGCCATATAACATTGATTTGATCGCAATGTTTTTTTATTATTATTATAACTTCGTTCTTTTTTATCTTTTGATTATATCTTCAATCATCATTCTTTACTTGCTTAGGTATTATCAATAGCATAGCAATTAACCATAGCTTCTTTTCTCGTTGTTTGATTCAACATTATTTTTTTCCCGCAAAAAAACTCAATAGAAAATGACACAGACAATGAATTTCAGATAGGTTTATCATCTGAATTTGGTCATCCTTGTTGATGGTGAGAATCTTTTTCTGATCAAATCTATTTCTTTTGATTTTATCCTGATGTTACACTTTACTACTGAACTGTTATGTGATGTGATGTGTGTGTGTGTGTGTTCGGGTTAGTTTAACATTCATTGTGCATTAGCATTACTGATTTCTGTTTTTTTCTTTTGTTTTTAACAAAAAAGTGTTAGGGGCAAGAAAAAAAAGGGGACAAATTGAAAAAAATAAGAGAAAAATCTTGGAAAATTTTTATTTTTCATTCACATCAACCATCCACCATCAACCACCATCCACCATCATCATCTTCACCAGCCTTTCACTCATAAATCTTTCAAGATAAATTATTGTCTATTTATAGATACATCAGCTTTCATTTTACAGTTTGTTTGTTTGTTTGTTTGTTGGTTTTTGTTTTTTTGTTTTATTTTTCTTCTTGATTTGTTGCATTGATTTATTCATTATACGGTTCTTCATATATAATGTCTCTCTCTATCTATCTATTCACTGAAATGGATTTATCCGCCATTAGCATCATCACCTCTGAAGTTTTTTTTTGAGAAAAAATAATAATAAAGGAAATAAGATCATCATTTACGCGCACATCTTCTGGATTTTTGAAAAATAAATTGAATGAAAAATTTGTACACAGGACCGATCATCATTATTATTATTTTCGTTATAGTGTTCAATGTGTGGTTTTCTTTTTTTTGTTTCTTTGAACAAACAAACAAACAAACAAACAGCAGCAAAAATTACTTTTTAATACATTTACAATATGTTCATTAATATATTTGTTTGTTTGATTTGATGTGTGCATAATAAGAAATCACATTCATTCATTCATTCATTCTTTCTTTGTTGTTGTTATTAAATATTTTCTACATCTGCTTCATTACAATGGTTAATTAGATTCATTTTATTATTATCATCATTATTATTTTGTTGTATTGAGACATTCATTCTATCTAGGCTTCTGTTGTTGCTATGATGATGATGATGATAATGATGACTTTTTGTTGTAAACACACACACACACAGTGTATTTTTCAATAATAATAATAATAAAATGAATGTTTCTTCTTCAATGTTATTGTTATTGTCAATGTTGTTTTGTGTTTTGTCATCAACAAAAATTATTCAATGAGGAGAGATAGATGGAAAACGAAGACCTACCGCAAATAATGAAACATCATCATCATTTAGAATAATTAATTGTTTTGAGAGAAATTTTTTCTTTGTGGATTTTCCTTATATACTTTTCTATTTTTTGGTTTGTTTCACTGTATAATCCACATTCAAACATCCATTATATTGACGGTTGTTCTTTTTCTATTTTTATCCATATTTGTTGTTGAAAATTATGAGTTGGAAATAATAAAATCGAAAAACAACCGAAAAAAAGAATTCACAATATGTGTGTCATTTTATTTGTTTCTAATAATCAATCATTTGTTGGAAAAAATCAAAAAGAAAAGCAAATCATTTATTATATTTCACACCCACACATACATTGATTGAATGAAAAACAATACCGATTTGACGATGAAAAAATTGAAACACACTTGATTCATTTCATTTCATTTAAAAGTTTTTTATATTATAAAACTTATCACCTAATCATTGGATTGCAAATCTCTGCAATTGATTGTGATTTTCTCCCTAAAAATGTTGCACTCTACATTTTTGTTGTTCTCGTTGTTTTTCTTTGGTTTTTAACGCCTTTGCGGAATGGATGATGATAATGATGATTCGATGGCGATAATGATTGACAATGAAAACGATAAATACATTCCGATATTTATTTATTCATTCAATTTCGTTTGTTTGTTTGTTTGATTGTTTGTTTGTTCATAAATATAAATCAAAAATTTATCAAGGAAAAATTTATTTATTTCCCATTCAATAAAACATACAATGTTGTTTTGGATTTTATTTCTTTCATCATTTTTCTTTCTCTCTCTCATTCAATCAATCGATTATCATTCGACTGTATCGAATTGTTTACGAGGACATTTTTTTTTCTTTTATTCCAAAAATAAAAACAAAATGATAAAATGAATTGTTGAATGAATGAATGAACAAACAAATAAATTTGGTGGAAAAAAATATCTGAAAATTAAACTGAAACAACAACAACAATAATGTCAATGTTGATAATGATATTTTTTCTGCTATATTCATTGAACAAAGCCAGATGTCCATACCAGCTTCTGGATCCATGAAATGCATCTGCATAAATCATAAAGTTATGATGCAATTGTGTAGACTTTTATGTTTTTTGTTTCAAAAATGAAGAAAATCCCAATATAAACAAAATATATGAAAAAGGGTTAAATTTGGATATGTCTGATTGAATTAATGTTTAATTGATTGATATTGACATTCTGTAATCATCTCGGCATGTGTCCATTCATTCATTTAACAAATATTAAGACAAGAGTTTTACAAATCACAGTGTTAATCAGCGGTATTTTGGGTAACAATAATATTTTTAAAAATATTGATTACTTCTATAATCAATTGAAAGGATCAATCGAACGAATGAAACAAAATATAAAAAAAAATTTGTTGCTAATCATCCTGTACATTTGTCAAATATGAATTTCAATGGCCTAGGTATTTGTTTGTCGCACATTTGTGTTTTTTCCTTCATTTAATCGATTCATGTTGGTATGTTTGATGTTTATTAATTATCATTATATTCATCATTATCATTATCATCATTATCACCATTCATTTTGATTAATTATCAATACATCAACATTAATGATTTGATTTCATTGATTGAATAATATGTGTTTTATATCTGTGATTTGTGATGATGATGATGATGATAACATTCATTTTAATGTTTTTTTTTTCTTTTTTTTAAATTTGACGTCATATTGATACCTTTTTGTTTCTTCAATCAAATAATTCATAGTCAATTTGTTTTTTGTTTTTGTTTTGTTCGATAGCTAACTGATTGATTTTTTTTGATTTTCTCTTTTTTTTCCATAGTTAATTTGATGAATCCAAGGACTGGATAAATAAAATCAAACAACATTGCATTCTGGTTTTTTTTTCGTTTCATCATCATAAATCGAAACGACAGCTGAACATTCTGTTTGAAATCTTATATGTTTATCTTTAACTGTGTGTATTTGTTTGTATGTGTGTGTGTGTTTAACACAGTGTTATATAATTCAACTGGTCCATAGTCAAAATTTTGTCTAGAATCTTATAGAAAATAATCCTAAATGATATTTGGCATGAACATACAGCCACCAATATTACCATTACCATCACCATCATCACATCATCATCATCATCATTTATATGCCGACGTATTGACACATCGAAGATTATTTTCAACAAAATCAAACAGAATGGCATTGGCCAATGTTACAACATTAAGTGATGAAGGCGTTGAAGGCGAATCCGATTCTGAACAACCAATCAATCAACATTCACAAACATCTCAACAACATAACAATCACAATTATAATCATCATCATCATAATCATCATCAATCTCGTGAATCAAATATCGGCAAATCATCATATAAATCAACAACGATGGAAGATTTGACATATGTTTCACGACGGAAACGTTTTCGTAGTGATGAAGAATTTGATGCTGATGCAGATGATGATGGTGAAGATGATGATACAGATGATATTGTTAATGATCATGGTGGTGGTGGTGGTGGTAGTGGACACGATGATGATGATGATAATAATATCATTGATAATACAATAACAGGCAATAATAATGGAAATGATTCAGTACAGGATACTGATAGTAATGAAGGGGATGATGAAGAAGAAACAAATGACAATATAAATAAAATAACATCAGCCAAATCATCATCATCATCATCAACAACATCATCAATATCATCATCTCGTAAACGATTTAAATCATCATCATCCTCATCAAAATCACATAATGGTCATCTGTTAAGTGACGATCTCAACAAAAATCTAACGGACCAAATACCTTCAATACAATATAATAAATCTAGTAATGCAAGTCATCATCCTCATCATCATTCACATTCACATCATCATCATCATTCACATCATAATCGTAAAATGGGCAATGGCAATCTATCAAGACGTAATGAAAATAATAAAGATCGTTTAAATAAACGATCAACAATGGATGAAGTTTTAAAACGTTTAAATAAAGTGAATAATCAAAATGATTCGGATGCTAAATCAGTTAAAAGTGATGATGGTGGTGATTCAGTGATTGATCAAAAACAACAACAACAACAACGTTTATCACCAATAAATGGTGGTCCAACGACGATAACCAATACAAATGTACAATCTGCTTTATCAAAATCATCATTTACACAACAACAACAAGGTTCTGTGCCAAATTTTCCATTTGATCTAAACATGTTATCCGGTTTAACAGCAACAAATAATGAAGGAAATGTTAATGTTATTGAAGCTGAACAACAATTATCATCATTAATTGATCAATTACAAATGTTTCGTTCAAAATTAGTTAGTCAACAACAACATCAACAACCATCGGTAAGTTTTACTTTATAGTGTGATGCCTTTTTCATTTTCCTATTGTGTTAGACATGGCTATTGTTATTGCAAAATATCATTTGTCGCCATTCACGCATCATCATACTCAAAATACAATGGGCTCACGCCTTTTTCTTTCCTCTTGCTGCACACTTCATTAAACAATACAATAGACATGTTATGTAACCAAACCAACTCCAATATCCAATTGTCTGTGTTTGTGTTTGTTTGTATGCGCATATACAACAATACAATACAATACAATATAATAACATCATCAAACTTGTTTCGCACATCCTTATGATAATAAGGAAAAACGATTCTATTGTTCATTGTTGTACGTAAATATATTGCTCTATTGTTATATAGCCCATTGAATAGATAATACAATGGAAAAGAAGAAAAGGAAGAAAATTTCCGACAAAGCATACAAGCAAAAACCAACGCCAATGCCACGACCACATTTAAAAACAAAATATTTATGTTAGGAAGATTGGTTCCTGAATGTGCCGCCTCTATTGTTATTGTTAACAATACAATACTTGCATAGTGAAGATACAAAGAAAAAAACATTAGGATATATCCGTGCCCATCTTTGTGTGTCTGTAGGATTCTGTTCTGTGTGTTCAAAACTAATTGAAATTCTAAATTTATTTCTAAATTGAAAAAACAAACAAACAAAAATTGAATGAATTAGTTTTTTTTTCTCTCTCTCTCTCGATTCTTTGGATTCCTTCCTTCCTTCATTATTTTGTTCTTGATGATTCTGACAAGAATCGATACAAATTTCTAACATTTTTTTAAAAAATGCTAATTTTGTCTTGTTTGATTTTTCAAAATAATTTTTTTCTTTCTTCAACATTCTCTACAACAAAAAAAAAAATGCTTCAACACAATGTTGACTGATTTATGGCGCCCATATAGAAAATTTACAGAAAGTCAAAAGTTAGAATTTTCCATTATCATGAATCTTATTATAATTCAGTTCATTTCATTTTCTGACTTTCTGACTTGAAATATATATAGTCAATCAAGATATTTAGTGAGTTTAGTAAAGTTTGAATTTTTGTTTTGTTTTTTTTTTCACTCATTTTATTCTATCTCTCTCTCCATCACCAAGATGTATGTTTGTTTTTCTTCTTGGTTTTTTTGTATGATTCTTGATTTTCAATTCGATTATTATTATTATTGTTATTGGTGTTGGTTGGGGAAAAAAATCAAGAATCAAGAATGAAAATAATACATTCGTGAATAAGAATTCTTTTCTTTTTTTTCTGTTGCTGTTATTCTTACACCATTTTTTTTGTTTATTTGTTTATTCATTTTCAATTTCAGTCTCTCTTTTTTTTTTGTCTGTCTATGTTCTGGATTGAATATTTAGTTTTGTCGAAAATTCTTCGAATGAAAAAAAAATATTTAATTATTTTTATCTTTTTCTTTCTCGTAAAAACACACACACACACAACAGACATTGTTATGAATGAAAAATTACAAATTTACGAAACTGAATGGCATGATGCCTAATTATCAAAAAAAAGTCACTAGTGAGTTCCATCTCTTTTTTCATTGCCAATAATAATAAGTTTGATGTTCACAATTTACTACAAATTCAGATAAATTTCCAATGAAAATGGGTGAAACTGAACATCCGAACAAAAAATCTTAAGGATCCAACTGTATCAAGCAACAAAAAAAACTGTCATGTTCTTTTCCTTAGACATTTATTTGGATATTCTTCTT